CCGCAGCAGTATATGTTCAGCATATTATCTTCTTTATGCACTTACTGCCTCTCATTTCTATTTTCTAGGACAGACTTACAAACATTCTAAAATGATTATTTTAATTCCATGTTTTGCTCTGCTTATTTTCTTGCAAGTTGTGTCTGTTTGTTCCATCCTTGGTTTTCCTCACTGTCTGCCAGCTGGGCTGCGCACAAAACCCAGAGAAGCATGCCTTACAGCAGGCTCCAGAGGCATAACGGGAAACGTCGTGATCGGGAGCATCATCGCAGCCGCGCCTCAGCCGTGTCTGCAGCACACGCACACTCACACAGAGCTGGGGCTGAGGATGGCATCTACAGACCGATTTATTGATACTAATTCTTCTCCGTTACATTTCTACCCTGCAAAATGGGAGACAGCATGAACTGGTTTGGAGGCCAAAGGGGAAGCTCATTTTTTTCTGCATGATTTTGTAGCTCGCTTCCCCTTTCTATGTTCAGCCTTTTGTTTGCCCTGGATTTTGTTTGGAAAGAGATCAGATATAGATTTTGATATTAAGAACTTTTGTGATCAGAAGCATTTAAAAACCACGAACTCTAAAGTCTAACTATTCAGATACTGAAATCTGAAGTTTCTCAAAGCTTTCAGAAGTTTCTTCTTTCAAGAAGTTGCTATTGGTCTTTACAGAAACCACTTAACCAAAGAGATCGAGCATGACAATTTTCAAGTATTTACAAAACTCAGCTCTTTCTTCCTATCTTATAATTTTGTTCAGTTTACTGAGCATTTCAGTGCCATGTAACTGCATCTGCTAAAGAGCCATTTCTCTTTTTAGGTTAATTTTCCCCCAAGGGTGTGTGCAATTCATAAATATCCTACCCTTGACTTCTCCTTTCCCCCCCTCAAAACCCTTTCGCTTTCAAGCATTTCTGTTTTATTGTCACTTACAAAGGTATAAGATATACTTTTCTTGTATTAATGAAAACACTAAGCCTAACTGTTAAAGCTCAAAACCAGATTTGGTATAGAATTATCACTAAACATTTAAGTGACAATCATGCCACCTGACATAGGTATATCGGAGCCTTCAGAAGACATCATTAACATTTGCCTCTTCTGTTTGTAGCTGGAGTTTCTGACCTTCAGTCATTGACTCCACGAGAAGCTCTATGGAGAAAGATGAAACAAATGTCTGATTTGAAGTACAGATATTTAAGGACAGAACTGTGATTTGAGGACGTTAAAGGAAAAGGATGAGGAACCAAAGCAGCAGTCAGCACAGTGTCACAGTTGAAATGCTACAGCTGACAGAAATTACATGTTTGCTAGACCCAAAACTCACGTGAGCAGGCAGTTTTGATATGCTGTAATATAACAACATGAGATAGCAGCTTACGCAGTGCTTAGAAAAACACCATAATCCTCTTACCGGTGACACAGGAAAAGAGAGCAGATTTACGCTGGAGGGAAGTAGATCTTCTTCTCTCTTTGGAAGGCATTCTGGAATTGCTTGGTTCATATTTTTCAGCAGTAATAAACATTTTATGCAACTTTGGATTTATGCCTTCTGGAATCATACGTGGGCTATGCTGGTAAAAATGAAGCATTTTGTTTCCTGAAATAGCTTTGTGGATGCTCCTTTTGTTAGACTGGCTCTGATTGTAAGTCTGTAAAAGAGAGGGTAAATCATAGGTTGTTGGATTGTTTTTTCACATGACTTGATCAAAAGTAAAAGAACACCTGAGTCTGTGGGCTTTCTCATTATTTTGTGCTCCATCATCAAAATGCTTTTTGGGTTTTTTCTTTTCTTCCCCAAACACAACTAAACCAAAAATATGGCCCTGACAGCCAACCAAATTCCCTGTTCTGTGAATATTGTCTGTTAGATCAGCATAACTGCTTGTGCACGTTCTTGAACTGCAAGTTCAAGACTTCCAGTATGCCTCCACGTTATGGTAACCAAAGCAGAGAGCAAAGGAACAGAAGGACATAGATGAAAACAACAAAGCAAAAAGGCTGTATTGAAAAACTTCCATACTAAAATATCTAAGGCAAATTAAGTTTGAATTATCACCGGTTTGTGCCTAGGTAAAACATTCAAAGCAAACGTAACAAAAAGCAAGGAAGTACCAAAGAACAGTGATCGTTCTTTGAGTTGCAAACAATACAAAATATAAAACAATGTACAGCTTTTTACGCTCTGTAAATAGATCAGAAGTAAGCACAGCGCTTGAGAGAAAGAGAGACACAGCCCTTACCTGGGGGAATTTACAGTCTGCAATACATACAGGGATGATGTAAATTAGATTACATCAGAAACAAAAGAAAGGAGGTCAAGAAAAAAAAGGGGTAAGATTATTTGTTAATGCCATACACGCTCCAAGCCCTTTTAATTACACTCCATTTTTATTGTGCAACAGCAAACCAAGACAAAAATGGAGAAACTAAGGAAAGAAACTGGTCCCTCCTCTGAACATTTCTTGTCCTAATACTCTTCTCCAGGTCTCTGATGGAGACAGCGTGCCCCGTTAGGCAGACTAAGTGCTCTGAGTGCGACAGTATGGCAGCTATGTTCTTCCGAGAGGGATGATCCTTGGAAGCCAGGATCAGAGGAGACAGACACAAAAAGATGCTCTCCGAATAAAATTGGAAGAGGTTAACGGCTAGCTCTATTATACCGTCCCTCCGGCAGTCCAATAAATATCTTTTAATGCTAGAATAGGCAATAAAGTCTTTTTATGGAAAAAAAATTGCATTACCAAATTCATTGCTTAACAGAATTGTTACTTTACTGTTACTGAGACAGTATGTGTCCTTTTCCTTTGTTTCACAGGGTGCATCAGCTTGGCCTGACAGAAGCCTGAGAGCCTCTGAGCCCCCCTGCGCCCTTCTCTTTGTATCGCTTTAAACCTGCAGCTACCGGCCCCCTTCCAGGCGGGTGCACATGCAGCCGAGCTGTCACAAGATGTTAAAAAACCCAGATCTAAACACAGCACACCTCGGAACACGGCCGAACTATAAAGGCAGAAGATTCATAGGCCGAATGCTCAGAGAACCCAGGGCATTAGCAGGGTGCAACCGTGTGACGTGCGCTGCACCGGGGAGACGCAGCGTGCTTCCACGTGGGACAGCTGAACCCGCGGGGACACACGTGGGGAGCAGAGGGCCGGAACAGAGCAATAAACGCTGCTGCAACAGAAATTCCTGTCAAACGCCAAACTTCTAGACCTAGATTTGCCAATTTTTCCCAATAAAACTTATTCAAAAGCTTTACAATTGACATGAAGTGGCTTGATTTTGTTAAAAAAGAAGAACAAATTCCCACAAATTAATATGAGACCACTAATTACTTAGCTGCAAGTTATGTGATGGGGAAGAATCTCCACATTATCAGATCTGGAAGGAGACTCAATAAAAAAACAAAACAAAACTAACAAAAACCACAAAAAAAACCCAAACACACACAAAAAAAACCCCAAGCAAAATCAAAAAAATAAAGCTAATATTGTTTGGCAATTAAAATTATTTCATGATCTCAAAACAAAAAAAAAAATTATATAAAATTACTGTCCTACCTGGGGGAAGGTTCTGCTTCAAAGATTTCTGAGAAAATCTGAAGAACCCAGTAATCCAACTGCTTAAGTGAAACTCCACGGAATTTAAGGGACCATTTTAATATCCCATTACAAAGCAGAGCTTTCAGCAGTAATCAGTCTTCATAGGCAGCATGAGAAAAGATCTATTTACAGACACCATTCACTTTTATCATTTTTAACTCTCATCCCTTCAAAGCAGCTTTTTTTCCCCTCAGGCAGGATTCTGTGGACCCTCATTTAGAATTAAGTCCCTGCTACGTACAAATTTAAACCAGATGCACAACATTGAGTGCAATAAATGAAGTAATAGCAAGACTCTGAAATTTTGGGTTTACAACTAGCTTACACAGATTCAGACTTCTCTGTCGTGAAACCCGATCCAACTCAGAACCAACCTCGCAAGTAAACAAGACCAGCAAAGAACAAAATCAATTTTCAGCCAGAACAGCGAGGTGCGCCCTAAAAATGGCTTGCGTTCCAACAGGGGCTGCACGATGAACCTGTACCGATACAAGTTCATATTACTCTGCAGGCCATTTCACCCACGAGTGATGTCAACGGGGACTGCCCTGCCTCCTCCTGCCTAACCCCTGCCCTGCCAGCGTCCTTGGGTCAGACCTGGCAATCGCGCGGCTGCGGGATGAAGCTGGGCAGTGGGCTGGTACAGCTGAAGATCGGTTCTCCCGGCTCCCATGCCTGCTGGTACATTAGTTTCCCAAGGGGCAGCCTGCACTCAGAGACGATTAATTATACTCTGAGTTGAGTGCTGAGGTTCAGGAATTTAGCAAAAGTAGATTTCCACTTAAGCTGATCTCTTCAGCCTCACACGCAAGTCTGCTACTACCACTAAGTACTTGTCTGAGAGTGTAGTGTCGTCAGCAGTTCAGAGCGAGACGCTGCCAGCCCTCCTGCTCTCACAGCTCCATCCCTACCTCTTCCACATGTTGTTCTGTACCCTCGACAAAAACCCTGTATTTTCTGTATTTACAAAATAAGTGTTATTAAGAACAAAGGCTTGAAGCCCTTCACATTGAGAAAGCGCACATATTTTTAGAATATTGTGGGCTATTAAACTTTCCTGTAGTGACGCTAAAATGTTGCTAGGAGTGCTCAGGGTTGCTGTGATTTTTAATGCATAGTACATTGTTTCCTGGAACAGACGAAACAAGTCATTTTGTTTTCCCAGGAAGAAGAAAGCTACACACTCACCCGTTCCTCCCGCCCTTGGGCGAGGATGACAACGATCCTGCCTTGCCGCCTGCGCCCCGTTCGGCCCATCCTCTGCACAAGGCGAATTGGACTTTTCTGAGCGTCAAAGCAGATGATGAGATCAACTTCTCCAATGTCCAAGCCTTCTTCCCCAACACAGGTAGAGACCAGAGTGTTATACCCACCTTCACGAAAGCGTTTTACCACCTGAATAAATGATTAAAATTAGATTTAACAGGTTAGCCAGAAAGACCCTTATACACCCTTTGCAGTTTTTCTAGGTTCAGAGAGAAGTTGAAAAAATTAATTTGCATTTTAAGACTACAAAACTTAGTCATTCTGAATTTGTCAGCTACTACCTCATGATCAAATACCATGCACTAATGTTATCGACATATCAACTCTTCAATTCTAAAATAAAGGAAAGAAAGCACACCTTATTCTGAATCCAACCATGGCATTCTTCTAAAATTGATCTTCCCAATTTTGCAATTAATTATTTTGGTTTTGTTTTTGTTTTTTAAACTTTGCTAGATCAAAACTTAAGGCTATATCTTATTTTTTCTACCTACAAGAAAAAAAAAAAAAAAATCCCCTAAGCAAGTATTTGAATATTTGCCCAGATCTTCAAATATATAAAAGTTAGCAGCTGTTACTATAATGTAAATATATAAAATATTTCTACTTATACATTCTGTTCAGTAAGTGTAATTTTGGATACTCTGAAAGCAATTGAACTACATAGGAATTTACTAGTGACACTTTAAAGTTCAGTCACTGCCATACAATCTGTAGCGGTACTCACGTAGTTAGTTACACAATTAATACTCCTTATCACTATTTCCTCATACAAGTCTCATCTTTTCTTTACCTCAAGTTGTTCCTTTTGTGTGAAGCCTTTTGTGCTCTTTCCTGTGGAGTGGCCAACAAACGTCATTACTCTAACAACTGGACTGAGCCGGGAAAGCATTTCTGCAATTTCTTGCACGCTATCTCGAAATGATGAGAAGATCATCACTCTGGTATCCACACCGTCCACAGATGTGCTTTCAGTCATGACTCGATCTGTTTAATTTTAAAAAGCCAGAAAAGCATTTTTATGTATAATTTAAAAATAATAATAAAAAAAAAAGTAAGTAAGGACAGGTCATCCCATAAGCTGCACATCCACAGCTCTCATCTCACTTAACAGGAAAATTCTGTCCAAGTATACTGCATTTTGATTTTTTCAAAGAAATTGTCTTCAGAATAAATTTCATTTTAAAAAAACCTAAGTAAATAAATTACAAAAAAACAGTAGATAAAACTGACAATTAGAAGCCCCTCAGCCTGTTTAGGCCAACCTCCCAGAAAATGCTCTGAGATACACCTGCTCAAACAACTCCTCTTTGGAATCAAAGCAATATTCTAATTTTGGAGAATTTACACCAACTATGGCGAGAATATCTTATATTTGAGGTACCATTACTAATGTTACTTTGAAAAGCTCAGGTTTGATGGTAAGTGTCTTGAAATAAAGTTAAGATGCCTTCTCGCAAAGAGCCTACAATGTGACTTTTAAATCTGCTACTTAAATGCCCAGAGCTAGGCGAGGTTAGCGACATACAGCAATAAAAACCACTGTTACCATTAGGCTAGGATACAGCATAGTGGAGTAAAAGAGATACATATCAGCTTTCTACGATTTACTACAGAGTTGTCTCTAGTTCCACACCTTAGGATCTTCATGACAGCAGAAATGTGCAAAAACTTCCCTTAATACCATAATCTGATGCTTCTGAGTGATCTGTCATCACAACTGGTTATAGCTCTCATTTCAATGGCAGAGATAACTTGTCCCTTTTCAAAGAAAAGGGAAAAATAATTGCATTGCTACACTGTTTCTTAGCAAGGCGTCTTCAACCAAAACCCCGTTTTCTTATGTTATACCATCACAGATTTTGTCTCCTGGGTACTCCATTTTTTTCCCCTTTTTTTTTTTTAAACATATAAGGGTATCTGCCTTCATGGGCACAAGTAAAAGCTATCTAAGCAACATGCAAGTCTTGAACAGTCAGCTTCTGTTTATCCCATCCAAGTACTAAAACAACGTGCCCGCTACTGACAGCCAGCATGGCTTCACCAAGGGCAAGTCCTGCCTGACCAGCCTCGAGGCCTTCTACGATGGAGTGACTGCATCAGTGGAGGAGGGAAGAGCTACGGATGTCATCTCTCTGGACTTCTGACACGGTCCCCCCCAGCATCCTCCTCTCTGCATCGGAAGGATATGGATTTGATGGGCGGACTGTTTGGTGGATAAGGAATTGGCTGGATCCATTGGTCGCATCCAGAGGGTAGTGGTCAATGGCTCAATGTCCAGATGGAGACCAGTGACGAGTGGTGTCCCTCAGGGGTCCGTACTGGGGCCAGTGCTGTTCAATATCTTCATCAGTGACGTGACATAGAGATCGAGTGCACCCTCAGCAAGTGTGCAGATGACACCAAGCTGAGGGGTGCAGCAGACACGCCTGAGGGATGGGATGCCATCCAGAGGGATCTGGGCAGGCTGGAGAGGTGGGCCTGGGTGAGCCTCACGAGGTTCAACAAGGCCAAGTGCAGGGTCCTGCACAGGCCTAGAAATGAAATGGTGAATATGATTCAATATTTTTAGCTAGAAACCTGACAATTGCAACACTGATATAATGTGTTCTGCGTAATTTGCCATCCTGAGCAGACAGACAAGCTATATATTTCAGAATAAGTGCAGGTTGGATATATCTTACTTACATGAGTCCATATTATTCTCCTCCACTAACTTTATTCTCAATAAATTCTGTATCTTTTTTTAGCATATTCTCATAACTTGAATAGCAATAATGGTCTCTTGTGGCAGCTGTCCCTGTACTGTAAAAAACGTTATACTGCTGCCATTACCTCCTTGACCTTATCCAAAACCAGACTTAGAAAATTCAAGACATTAGCAGCCCATAATCAATCTGACAAGTAATCCAGGTATGGAAGATTAGCTGGGAGAAGCTCATTATGCTGAGCCAACATTTCTTAAGGGCTGGCCAGAATGTATCTTGCACTTACCTGAATTGCTGGCAAGCGCATCTTGCAAAGCAGGGGCAATAGCTACGCGGTCAGGGAGCTCAAACTTAACCTGGATGATCACTAGTTCGAAATGGTGCAGAGTTTGCACAGGCAACTTGGCACTGCTCCCACGAGTTCTCATACGAGAGGTTTCATTTCAGATGGAGGAAAAAGAGCTAGTGTTGTTCCTGATGTGGCTAATGACTTAGGTTATTAATACTTGCCTCTTCTGTCTCAAATGCAGTGCTTTTCAAGGAAAATACTTTGCAGAAGTAGTTATTCATTTTAAAAATTACACACGCATGAACACAGTAAATTATGATTCAGAGTAGTTCAGTAATGCGTAATTCGAACAAAGCAGAGTTAAGTTCAGGGGTTTTGTTTGCTTCTTTTTTTTTCCCCTAGAGATACTACACACTTGCACGAGTTCCTGAAACAAATGCTGAGTGTATTTTCCACTGCTCCCATAATGATCTAGGCTTTTATTTCAGAGCCTTCTAATGGAGCAGAGATACATGCGATTATGTTTGGAATCTTAATAAGTACTCAAGTTTTTATTGACAGACTTATGACAAATTCTTGTCTGAAGAAGGGAGAAATCAGGACACGGGTGTGTACTCTATTCAGTCAGAGTCCAAAACCAGAATTTAGGGTGTAGCTACTTGTGTACGTGTGAATTTAGAGTTTACTTGCAAGAAACAGGGAGTAAGGGTACAAATACAGGTTTTGAGTTATTGCTCAAAAGGTATCATCAGAGATGCTGTGACACAGTGAATAATAAGGTAAATAAATAAATTCAGTGTCTCGCTATTTCTGTCAACTGCCCAGTGCATTTGGGTTGGAGATGCACGAGCTTAGGAGACACAAGCTGGAGCTTACTACATTCCCTAAGTTACTAGAACGCCTCCAACTTTGTGATCAGGCTGCGAACTGTAAAGTGCTTTCTAGCCTTGCATTATACACAAAGATTTCAGGACCAGTTGTTTGTACTGGCTTTAAAACTACATGCATCTAGAGAACTGTGTTCAGGACACTGCTTCATATTCCCCATGGCTTTGCCTTGCATGTTAGTTATGAGGATAAAGGAGGTTACAGGGATCAGGAGCAAGGAAGGACAGCAAGAAAACCTAACACACCAAGCTCAAGATACAACTAGATATGCTACCATACCTTGCCCATTATGCTATAAAAGATTATGTATTTCTTCTTGCACAGTTACTGTAATTTTGTATTTATAACAGTAAAGACTTACGGCTCATGCCTACTTACTTCTGAGGTTCATGCACACAGACACAAAACCAAAACACTTGTATATTAATTACCTGTTAGTAATATTAAGAGACATGTCTGACCGACATTGCAAGGAAAAACATATCTGACGGGATTCATATGACAGCAAAATCCATGCTATCAAAAGAAGATGGAAGAGCATTAAATATGAAACATAGTTAAAGTAACTCCAGTACAGAATACAGAATATGAAAACAAAAGGCAATAGCTTAGAAAGCTGCTGTTACAGGAAACAAGACAGAAGCATGGAGGGAGGCAGGGAGGACAGAGAGAAGTATGGATGGAAAGGGGAAAAAAAAAAAAAAAAAAAAAAAGGAAGAAATTTGATTAAAAACATTTGGTCTAATTATCCTCAATGAATTAACCTTATTAGCTGTCTGGGCAGTACAGACTGCTTGTTTTCTTTCACAAAATTGGATTTTGACCCAAGTACAGCTTAGCAGGAAAGATCACAGATTATTCACTCATTGAGCACAGATTTAGCTGTTCCTTTCATTAGTCACCATAAAGAATTTTAAAAGAAGGGGGGGGGGGGGGGGGGGGAAAAAAGAAAAAGGGGAGGAAAAGGGAAAAAAAAAAAAAAAAAGAAAAAGGAAGTAATTTGATTAAATGCATTTGGTCATATTATAAACTAACAAAAACAGAAATGAGAAAACTTAAAGTTGCCTAGACTGCTACTAGAAAGTAGCAGTCATTGAAAGTGTATTCTAAGAATCAAGTGTCTAAGAAAAACAAACAAACACACAAAAACACCCACCACCAAAACACAAGGGCAGGTCAGAAATTATCAGAACTTCACAGAGCACAAAGATCCAAACAGACAAGGAAAGAAGTGAAGAAATTGCAAAAAACAAACAAACAAAAATTATTGTTACTGATGCCATCATTCCAAAAGCAACGACTGGATCAAGAGACTGAAACTTCCTAAAACCAAGATGTCTGAATGGTTCAAAATATTTTGCTTCATAATCTCCTGCTACTGTATGAAGTATTTTTGTTCTCCCTTTCAGTCAAGATAGTAAAGAATGAGAGAAAGATGAAGGTAATTGAGGGTTTTAAACTTCAAATCCATGCCTCAGTGTGCCATTCTTAGCAACAGGCTGGGTATCAGAACTTCTATCCTTAAGCTCCATAAGTACGTTGCACCAAACTCTGCAGGAGGTGATGGCAGCACTGCGCTGAGAGATGATGTGACTATGAAAATCATGAGACATAGTAGCACTAGGAATGAGTTTACTATCACTGTTTTACTAAGCTGGTAGAACAGTTTATATCAAATTAATAATGACAGCTTATAGAATGTTTTTTCTTAAAGAAATTTTATAGTAAAGTTCTTCTGAAGGGGACTTTTCCACGCAGAAGATATACAAACGTACAAGACAACAAAGAAGCACTTGAATAAATTACGAAATGAATCAGCACGATATTACTTGTTTTCATCCACAGGTTCAACTGTTCAGATACATTTTCTTTGAGTTGTTGGTACTTACCAGAACATCCCTTTTTCCAGGATTTAAAGTGTTCTATTACAATTTCCTCCAATTTCCTTAATTTTGGATGGCTGTAGATAAATTCCTTTTTATTTTCAAACACTGAAAGGAAATAAAGCAATTAAAAATGCGAGTAAACATGCAACAAGTATGAAGGTTTAGTGAACTTCATTTCCTCCCATTATAATTCCCCGAGTCAGACATACAAATTCCTGACGCTAGTTCTAATTGCATTCACCTAAACAAATAAATCAGTAAACTACTTATGGAACCACATTTGTTAAACCCAGTTTTTGAGAAAGTGTTGTTACTTTTGTTACAGTCACACTGTAAAAGATATATATAGTCAAACAGTAATATTTTAACCTTTCATTTTAAATCAAATTTAAAACTTCAAACACAGAAAACTTGTTTGAAGGTAGCTAAAACCACCGAGAGAAGATAGATAGGTAGGTAGGTAGGTAGACAGACAGATAAATAAGAGTCTGGGGAAAACAATCTGGAATAAAGAGTACTAGCTGAGTGTATCACAACAAATAGCTGCCTGCATCTACAAACTATGTAGAGGTATCTACTGTTTCATTTAAACAGAAAGTAAATATTCTGTCCCTGAAAGGGAAATACTGACCTGTTTTACTCTTGTAAACATTTCCATTCGCTGAAGCCAGAGATGTGTCTGAAAACATGTCTCTAAGCTGCTGATATAGCTTCATGAAGTCCTCATTACGACCAAGTTCATTTTTCGTACGGGTTAACCCTTTGTAAAAAGTTGAAATACCTTAGTATTTAATCTCCGGAGTGAACATAATTTTTGCTATCCAGAAGACAAGCTTTCTCAGAAGTAGCAAGCTCCTTTCAAGAGCCAAGAGGTTCATTTTAGCTTTAGAAAATTTAATAAACATTGTTTGGCATCAATATTTTTTCAGGGAAAATGCCATTATAGAATCTAAACTTGAAAAACGTATGTATAAACAAAAGCCTCGTCCTGTGGGTAAAGTTTTACATCAACCATTTAGCAGTAGAAAAGCCATCCAATCCAGAAGTGACGAGGGTGGTGAGGCACTGGCACAGGCTGCCCAGAGAAGCTGTGGATGCCCCCTCCCTGGAAGTGTTCAAGGCCGGGCTGGACGGGCCTGTGAGCAACGCAATACAGTGAAAGATGTCCCTGCCCACGGCAGGGGCGTTGGATCTTGAAAGGTCCCTTCCAACCCAAACCATTCTGTGATTCTATGGTTCTATGAAGTGCTGCCAGATACCCAAAGAGAAGGGAACCTAGACGAAAAGCTAGAATTAACAAGTTTCTTGAATGATTTTATGTCAATGTTGAAAAGAATTTGCCTTTACTCAAACCAGAAATCAAACTTACCAGAAGCAGTACAGAAGACCTGTTTATTAGAACTGTTTTCCATCAGTCATCTTTCAGGCAGTTGGACTAGATGATCGTTGTAGGACCCTTCCAACTGAAATACTCTATTCTATTCAAGTACTCTATTCTAGTCAATAGCAGACAGGGATTTAAGGAATCTGAGAAACTCGGAAATACACTAAATGCTCTGTGGTGCCTAGGTCTAACAACAGCAGTATACCATCAGACATCTAAAAATCTGCACACGCGAAAGTAAAAAATTGTAAAAATGTCAAAAGCATAAAATTAATGGGAAATTATTAGAACATGCATACTATAAAAATATATTCTATAGATTTTCTATATTATGAAGCAAGCACTGTACGCTTTTGATCCAGACACAGGACAAAGCAGTGTCATTTTAATTAAGCAGTGCTGTAGGCGAAGTAGCTTTTGTACGTTACCATGCAGTTACCCAGCCAAGAGTAAACTAAAATGAAGTAAGAAACCTGAGAGCCACACTACAGGGTGATCTGAACAGCGGGAGCCTTCCCCTCCCACATCCAGTGGTCAGAAGACACTTGCTGTTGGACCGACATTGCCAAGTGGAAATTTTCTCCCTCAAAAAAGATGTCAGTACCAAACCAGGTCTTCCAGACAGCAATGACCCAGCAGGTCTAAAAATGACTGTGGAGAGTTGCGTTGCAGAAGACTCACAATAGTCAGTGGCAGAATTGGGAAAATAAACTGAGTCCAGAAAAGAAAACAACTTTCTATTTTGCTTAGTGAGCATGGAAGGTGTTGCACAGCTGGGATTAGAAATTCTAGTGTGACGTGTCCAAATCTGTAATCTTCTGGCACAGACGCTTAAAACTCATGCATACATGAGTTTTACTATAGCGGGGAGGAATTGCTTTACAAGACCAAACGATTTCTCAGTTTAAATTGTCTAATGGTTATTCTCTGTCTCTCCAAAGATATTACTGCCACTTATTGAGTTCTGTTTGTGTCTTATTTTTTTCAGAACTGCTGCCATATAAACACATTTGCTTTCCCAAATAGACTCTATCTTTAACATCGTACTAACGTATTTCCAATAGCGATGAAAGGGAACAAAATGCCAATTACATTTTCAACGCTTTCATTGCATAAGCTGTTTTGTGCAAAACTAGCCATAGAGATGAGGTAAATTAAATGAGAAGGAGCGGAGACAAAAGGAAGGATGTTTCTGGAGGCATTTCACCTTTTGATCCATCCATAATTCCACAAAGGTAGATAAATAATGACCGCATTCCCATTTGCAGCAGCAGCTCATAACCATGATATAAACTGATACAAAGTGCAAAATCTCCTTCAATTACGCCTTGATGTATTCCCTGTGAAAACAAAACAGATGCATCATTAAATTAGGAAGTCAATAGGCAGCTGGAACCATACTGCAATTCTTATGACAAAAGTAAGATTGACATCTGAGAAATGGAGCCAAAGCACAAACTGATGCACAGCGAGTAGTCTGACTATCAAAACCTTCAGGAACCAGGTGACACAATGATCAATGAAGGCAATCTTTTTCCACCTAAAAAACGATCTCCAAAATACCTGCATTATCTTCCACGATTAGCTCATTACCTTCCAATGCAGCAACACTTAAAATCTGACAGCTGAACCATCCATCAGTATTTGGCAAAACAAGAGATTTCTGGCACGTCTACCCAGGCTACAAAATTTAAGTCAGGAAAGTTGTCTTGCCTACCATGAAGTGTATTTCCCAATGTTCTTTTTAAGGTACACAGTCTTTTTTTTTTTTTTTTTTTTTGGTAATGTTGTTTTTTAAGTTTGCAAAATCTGAACATTCCATGACAATTTACAGAAAGATAGGGGCAGTGATGTAGTTTTGAGGGGAAAGTGTAAACTTGGCAGTCAGTAATTGCAATCTAAGTTCTTAAAACAATTTCAGTTTGGAAATGAAGTTCTTCATCTTTTCCTTAAATTTACTACACGAGAATCAAGAAATGTGGAGCAAGTGGGCATATTTTATTCCAGGGCTAAATATAGAATGTTACAAAGGAAATCTAACTTAATACGTATCGGGAAACTCGGTACACTATGGAGTATTACTATTTAGTCATTACTTTAATACTGTGAAATAAACAAAGACATTTACCCCATTTTGTGAAGACGGGTTTTTTCTATGTTGATCTCTTGCTAGAATTATCTGGTACTTTGTAAGGCTGGGAATGTCCCGCCTTGCCAAAACTCCTATTTTAATCAGGCGTCCAGCAAATGTTTCTAGCACCTGCAAACAGAACACACAAATATACCAGAGATGTGAAGGTATGTGCATTTAACCCTTTGAAGTAGCTTTATTGTTACAGATCTTACACAAAAGAACACAAGCAGCTCATTTATTTTATTTGAAACATGGAATTTTTCAAAACAAACTGTATTGATTTCTGAATAATTTGTTACTGTACCAGATGACAACCTGGTGCTCTGCCTCCCTCTAAGGTTCTCCATTATAAGGATGTTTCTAGGCTAATTTACAATTCTTTTTCTAAGACCAGTAGAACTATTACAACTCAGTTCCCTAGGGATTTGTGCCCTCCATTGTATAGACAAACACCCTCCTGCCCCCAAGATAAACCCTTATCCATCAAATAACTGAGAAGTGGAAAGACACGCTGTGCTTCTGTAATCGCACGAGCGCTGACGGAGCAGAGAGAAAACGACACAGGATGGGTAGCCGCAGCCGCAGCTCCCTCTCTTACTGGTAACCCTAACTTCAGTGGTGCTTCAGTCTCAGGAAAACCTGTATTCATCTTTGAGAAGTCTAAGTTACCACAGGCGGAGGACTAGCCGACAGGTTACCGCGTTGTGTGGAAGGGATGGGAGCCGGGAGACGTGAGCAGAGAGGAACGAGCGCCTGGCAGATGGGCCCCGCACAGCAGCGTGCCCCGTTTCCTTCGGAAGCCATGCCAAAAGACAATTTGGTTTTATACATCACATGTACCTGCTTTCCACATCAGTGGAACAAGGGAACTGACCTGCACTAATTCATCTTAATCCTGTTTTTCCTCTTTGTTTCTCAGCCTTAGGTGGTCAGGATTTTTTTCATAGCCTTAGTTTTGCATGAGCGCTAACTCTGTAATAATTGGAGTAATCAGATTTGTTCTACAAAATTACTTACGATCTGTTGGCCCACTTGGCTAGTAGCACCAAAAGCATCTTACTGCACAATAACGAGCTTTACCAAAGGCAGTCTTGACTTAGTTTGACAGCAGATAGCTCCTGATAGCTGCTTACATGCATACAGTGTTCCCCAAGTTTTCTGGGCATTTTAACACCGGCTCAGCTGACCTGCGTGGAGAAGGCTATAGCATAACAAATGCCTAATCCCTTCATTGCCGGTCTTTCAGCCCACTGAAAATCAAGTCCAACTGAACCAACAAAACCAGGTCTAACTCTCAGGCCTCAAACAATACTGATGTAAGCATGTCTTCAGCTGGCAAAGACAAAATGCCCTAACAGGAAAAGAAAGTCAACTGTGAAAGTGCAATGCATGTTTATACACGAAGTAGCCACACTCCATTTGTCTTCTTCACATATGTAGTGTATGCTGGGCTTTTAGGGCCTGTTAGGATGCACAAATATTATTAACAACCACACTCTACTCACCCCGTCAATGCAGTGGCAGCTTAGTTTAACAACTTCTCTCTGGTTGCTTTGATTATTTTTACAGTTTGGTACTCTTTTAGCTTCTTACTCTGTGTACAGTGCCTACGTGGCACTGAGTGGCAAATCCTGAGAAAAGGGGTGGCAATAATTGCCATCGTCAACTACAGCAGCATTAATCCCCCAAAGAATCAAAAATGCAAAGAGAACTTTGGAAGGGTGAATGAACACTTGTGAAAGCACCAGCCCAACTGAGGAAACAACACGCTGGGGAATTTCCACGCTGCCCGCTCCGTGCCTGCAGGTCGTTCAAAACCAGCTAGCTGGAGTCAGCAGGCTAAGCAGATTATAACAGATAAAGGCTGCTGAGAAATAACAGGAACAAAGCCTAAATTCTGAATGCTCTGGTGCATCTTAGGTTGCTCTTCTTCCCTACTTTGGGCCTTCAGACTGGGATACCGTGCCTCAGGCAGCTTGCTGCTTTGGCTCAGATGAACCCAGCTCAGCTCGTCTGCTCTGGGCTGGAGGGGAAGCGGGCGATGGCCACGGGAGCAGCTGGCAGGCCACTGGGCACAGCTCGGAAGGCAGGATGGTGCCGAGGAGCGCTGCCCGCCCCGTGTCTCTCGGGGGAGCTGGTGTCAGAGCAGGTGGGCACTGAACGCACCCCTGAGCTCCGTCTGCAGGCTTACCTTTACCTGCAGGGAGCCTGGGTTACGGCCTCGCACGGCTGCCCAGGCAAAGCAAAGCACAGCCAACAGACCCCACCCCGAAGCATTCCTGTCACACCAGTAACAACATGTAAACACCCCAACTGGAGTACAATATTGCTGGGAATTTCTGGAGGAAAGGGAGGAAGAAAAAAAAAAAAAAAGGAAATCAAATGATCTGTTCTTAAAATACAGTCAAAAATGTTCACCAAGCCACTTGGAAGTCTAAATGCACAAGAAATTAATTTCTCATATTTGGTTTAAAGAGTTTAAAATTCAAAACTTTGTCTTTGTACCAAACAGTTTGTTATTGTTATGTTGTTATTAAATCTGGCCTGTATCTGACAAGTCACTTTAAAAGGACAGAGACAGAAATGCTGGTGCCAGCTTATAAAAAAAGGTATTATAAAAAAAAAAAAAAAAAAAGTTGACCATGCAAGGGATAACTCAGTGCTTTTTATTTGAATGGGATACAGCTGAAATAGCACTTTACCCTCCCATCAAACCCTAAACAGCTGGACATGAGGACACTTGAAATGCTGAAGATCAAGCTTAAACTGTGTCTCAAGTAGGGGAAGTGGAGTCAGTCTCTGAACACAAATACGTTTCTCCAGAAAAGCAATTAATATTTTCATTAAAAAGTAATGCCCACATACGTATAGTATTTCAGCACTGGTTTATTATTCATTATGCTTGTTGCATAGCTTTTTTAAGAAGAAATTTCCATTACATGTACTTTTTTGTTTCATCCTTTGACCTAGTTTATAACATGTAAGAAAATTATATTGTCACTGTTTGCTCAATGTACACCCCTGTCTGATTTAATCACCTTCTGCAAAACAAACCAAGGAAGACTATTATGAAAGACAGCAGGATCCAGTCACCTGGAGCTTCGAAACTAATAAGGAACAGTAAACATAACCTACTTAGAAGAGATACAGAAACAAGCACTACTCAGAGCGATTACATTTATCTTGCCTCCGTACCTTTATTTTTAATTAAAAAGATAATACTTCTGGAAAATCTCCCCAATCTTTCCAAAACATTGAAGTGTTATGTTACCCATTTAAAAAACAAAACTGTAGAATTAATTTAAACTAATTGCTTACTAGGAATCATGGCTTTTTCTAGCTCACTAAATTGAGTTACTACCAACATATAAAAGACAACTAGTAAAGTTATCCCATACTGCACTAAACTTGCCAAGAACATAAAGGGTTCTGCTGAACAAAGTATCTTCCCCAGCAAGTCATGCTGATTTTTTGAAGCTTGTACCTGAGATTAGCCTAGGACCTGCTGTTTGGAGCTACGACACTAGCTGAGGACTACCATGTGTCTTACAAGCACAACTGGCAAGGCAAAGAACTGTTACTCTTTCAGCTACACCTCACTAAAAACTGCTATTAATCTGTTTTCTCTTGGCACAATAAAAAACAAAGGCTCTAAACAAATGACCTGGCCTAATTATTTTACTGCAGATTTGCAAGCATTCTTTACCAAAGAAAACCAAGAAATCTCCCACGCATAAATAACTGTATTGCATTTCTTTCAGAGTAGAGCGGGAGGGGTTTGAGAGAAACCAGCCACGAAGGAGACGGTATCTTCACCGAACAAAGACTGAGAAGGTCCACTTCCACCCCCAGGAAAGGCGAAGTGCCAGGAGGCTCCCCACAGCGCTCCCAGCCTCGACCGACAGGCCTGACCCGGTTTATACAGTCACACTGCCCTTAAAGAGCTGCCATTTCCTTCGTCGCCTTCCCCTGCTCTCCCAACTCACCCGGCTCCAGCATTTTCAATGCACAATATGCCACAGACCCCTTCCGAACATGCTGGGGCAGATGCAGAACGAGTGTGCAAGAAAATGAGACTACGCTGTGCGTCAGCGAGGTAACGTCACACCTAGAGCTGTGCGGGAATGGTAGCGTGCCCCACTGACACGCTGCTCTGCCTTAACAAGGGACCGCTAAAAGCAGGAGGAGAGAAGTAACATAAGCAGCTCCAGAACAGAAATCCAGATTTTTGTTGTGGCTGTGCACCACATGGACATCCCCCTGCTCCCGCTCTCTGCTCCAGATTTTCAAATTTTCAACAAAGGGAGTAAAGGAAGACAAGAAAGGGGAAGAGGAGACTTCTTCCAGGCTCTGGCCTCACCACCTGTACCTGGAAAGGCAGCTCAGAGGTGTATTTATCACAAGTCTTCACAACAGGGCTGTGATCGTACTGTCCTAGGGGAGAGCAATCACATTTTGCAGGAAGGCATGAAAGCAACCAAGGCCTTCCACAGCTCCAGGGAAGAGCAGCCCCAGTGAAGGTTAGATGAAGATCTAGAGCATTCATTGCTTTGTTCTAGGACTGAAACTAGAAAGGTGTGGGTTTCACAAAGCGCGCTACCTTGAGAAGTCTAAGTGCGATAACCTCGTATTCCTGAAAGTAACTTCCAGGGGGAAGCCCCAGGAGCAAACCGGGTTTAGTCTCTGCCGACTGTAACTCCAGCTTGAGCGAGAGAGTCTTGAGACTCCATCAAAAAGAAAGAACCTGGCGATCCCAGCAGCGGCCAGGGAACCGGGCGGCCCCGCAGCCGCAGGAGCGCATCTCACGGGTGAGCTGGGGCAGCTCGCAGGTACCCGCTCACTGACGGTGAAGAAACTTCTCAGGCGCACAGAGTACATGAAGTTTACGTACAGAGTGAGAATGGTTTATTGTAACATTTGATGAAGCCTCTCAAATGGTAGTATAGTACATCAAAGAAGGGAAGGAGGGCAATTATTAACAGAAAAAAATGTGGGTTTATGACAGAGAAGGCAACTGAGAAAGGCGTTTGGAGCTATGACTAGTGCTCAGTTTTAGTTATTCTCCCTGTAAAACTTCGGAGTCATGCCAAAGACAAACTCTAAACACGATGGAGAAAAGTGCTGTTTTGTGTAAGCTTTCTACTGACATTTTCTTACCTTTCCAATAATGAAAAAGCAACAGGGACAGAGCAGGGTACAGTGTTTTTAAGCTGACCTTATAATTCTCCAAAACCAATACTGATCAACCTAGTAATGGTCTTGGCACCTCTGAAAGTTTTGTTGTCAGGTTTATATTAACTCATTCAGACACTTCACAGCCTTCCCACCCTCCAGGGATTTGTCACACATTGAACACAGACCGTTCTTCCCTGGAAGCTGGTATTCACCAGAAAGATCTAATAGTTTGTCCTCCTTTAACATCTTGGGTTTCCTCCTATTACAGCATTTTTCACTTCTTAAAAGTTACAAAAAAAGAAAACCTACAGTTTTTACTTTTCAATTAATTTCATTAGGAACATTTTTACTCTTTTACTTGGGGAGTTACAAGAAAGAAGTGGCTTTTCTATACCAATTTGCCATTCAGTAAACGTTATCACTTTGTCACAGGACAGAAAGAAGCATCCTACTGAGGATGTTTCATATCCTCAATCTGCAAGACTGAATATTTGTTTTTCTTTTATATTCAGAGATACAACCTGCCAGGAAAGCACCAAGAATACAGCACTAACAAAACCATATTTATTAGCCAGCAGTCACAGGCAAAATTAACAAGTTGGGGGGAAAAAAGGCCAAATACCACAAAGATCAGCTTTGTTCAACTCCAGTAACAATCAGGTACTCTGTCAGTCTGAGCTGATAGCAGTGTCTAGACACAGACCACGATACATCTTCAGCACTCGATCGGATGTAGGCCTTTGTACATAATTACCAAGCACATCACAAACCAGAACACACGCAGTAATCTGTGCAGGGGGATCTTTAAAACAGGATCTTAAACTCCAACCAGCCTCTTTCTCCCAGGTAGCCCGTCAATACTCTGTGGCATTTCTCACAAATAGAGAAATTTGGTTGTGATTTTAGACAGTTTTACTAGTTGTTGGTTTGTTTGTTTGTTCCCATCTCCAGCAACAATGCTTAGCAATCCTCTAAACAGAAATAATTTCAGTTAATCAACTATTTATTCTCATAATTAAGGCCTGAACAAAAGAGTTGGGAATTTTTTCTGTGAGAAAGTGTCAGAATTATTTATGCAGGACAGGCAGAGAAGGAGCCCCTACACATTGCCTCAGAAAGTCAGCTCTTCTCAAGAATAATGGCTTCCTGGAGGAAATCTTCAAGAGCCAGGATGCCCTCACCTGGAAGAAATCTTCAAGTGCCAGGAAGCCCTCACTTGGTAGTAACAATTCAACTTCCCAAATTACGTGGAAGATTCCTCACCCACAAAACTGCAGTCAGCGTTTGCACCGCACTAAAATGTAATTTAAGACACTACCTGTGATGTGGATCAATTCACGTTGTGCCTTACTTCAAGATACCTACCCGCAGCGATGTAGCTGCCCACAAAGAAAGGTCAACAGCACCTTTGCGAGGAAAATCTGATAACTGCCAAAAAACACAGTCCGCTTCAGTGCATTTTCAATGAATCTTGCGATTCTGTGTCCTAGGGAGCTGACCATGAAACCAAATCATCAGACAACCAAACACTTAAGCAAGCATCATCTCCGACACTTGTCAAGGATTTGCCTTCTCAGTGAATGCCAGATCAGAGTCTGTGATGCTGACACACTGCCCACAACTACGAGGCCAAACATCCTCACAGTGGAACTGCCTGCCTCACTGCAACCAGTGCTTTCCACTTTTCTGCAACAAAACCCACATGCTCAATTCACTAGGAAAGAACCGTTCCCTCAGGACATTCCCACTGGCAGTTGCTCCTCCATTTGCAAATTCTCCAAGAAACAACAGCTTTGGTCAGCTTCGGCCGACAGAAGAAACGCTCTGTAGAAACGGCAGGATTTCAGTCCGTAGTGTCAGAAGTACACAGTCGGGACTTGGACCACTCTGGCCTCTAAGGCAACTAATACTTTGTTGTCACACCAAGATCAGCCCCTGGGGTTAGGCATCCAAAGCTGAGCCTGGGAGAAAGATACTGATCAGGAAAGAGAGGGAAAAAAAAAAAAACAACAAAACAACAAAAAAAAGGGCAGGGGGGAGATTAAGCATCACCTCCGAGAGTCAACAGTTACATCCCTAACCTTTGGTCTCCTCCGACAAGCATCTCAACAGTGTACAAGAGAGGACTACTTTCACGTTATTCTAAAATTCTAAAAGCCCAGAGGTTCCCCTTTCCTGCCTGCACAAAAAGGACCACAACACTTATTTCACATTAAGTTAAAGTTAGAATGAAAGACTACAAATAGAACCACATGCTCCACACAGACCCTTGATTCAAATTCAGATCCTGCTTTAATTGTCATAGCCATTCCCATAACAGGTCTGCTCATCTACCTCTTTCTCAGGAAGGCTTGCCTCAGCAATGGCAAAAGTAGGCAGCTGTCAACTTCCAAAGCTCGACTTTCAATACCAAAATGACCCATGGCTTTTGCACTCCTGACAGAAGCCGGTTTGGAACGACCTCGCAGACACTCTGGAATAAAATGAAAGATCTGTCTTTCAAGCGTGGTTTGAAAATATTAAAAGAAAGTCACCATAAAGAAGGACTAACAGGACACGAAGAGCAGTGGGGAAAAAACATGATGAAGAGAGCAGCTAGGAAAGAGCATGAGTTAATAGCGACAAAACATCCGAAACACAAACTTCTTGGAGATCCATACTGCTGGGATCCTACAGCACGGGGACTGCCAGCAAAGCCGGCTCCCCCCGCCCTGCGGCGCTGCCCCGGCGGCGGGCGGGCAGC